GGGAAGGCTCCTGAGACAGAGAAGCACCTGAGCCTCCCTCTCCCTGTGAGGGCCAGAGTGGGCCAAGGTTTGGCCAAAAGCCGTCATACCCTTCCCCTTGCTTCCCTTCACTCGGCCTCAGACCCCAACGATAGATGGGAACAGCTTGCCTCAGTGACCTCTGGCCACCTTTCAGGTTCCCCTGTGACCGCTGTGACGAGAGGTGTGGCTTTGCTGTCAGTTGGGGTCCCCTCCCCCACTCCTGCCATTCCACATAGAAGCAGGGGCAAGGAAGCCACATCAAATGTGGCAGAGATCAGGGAGGGTTCCAGGCCCTCTAGTGGCGTCCCCAACATCTCCAAACTCCAGTAACCCAGTGCTGAACACAGCCAGCCCTCCTGGAAATCCCCTGGTATTACCCTTGCCATTTTCCTAGAGATGCAGTGGCTGTCAAACACCTAGACTATCCTGACATCCCCTAGAACTGTCATCATGACTCCTGCAGCTGTTCTGGGAGGTGTCTTCCCTGACTGCATTGGCTGCAATTTGAACCAAACAGTAGAACTGAACTTGGAACAATTGGTAGGCTCAAATCAGAAGGCTTGAATTTAGAGCAATTTGGACCATAGACCCACACTTGCTATATGAGCAGCACTCTTCTCACATGTCTCCAGTGAGTCTAGGAGAGCTCCCTCCAGTGTACTGACACCCTCTGCTGTAGCACAGGCCTTGTACAAATAAAACTTCACTTAGGTGGTCCTCTGGATCTACTCATGATTTATTTCTTGGGCTCAGAAGATCCTGTAAATCTACTTATAATATCTCCAGCAGTGTGGACAGGGTAGTTGCTTTAAAAAGGGCTGTAAACACTGAGGGATGTTAACCTTCAAGAGCTCTGGTAGGTGATAAAGTTCAGTGATGGAGACCAGCAATTGGTACTGTCAGTTCAAAGTGTCTGCCATTCACCAGCATCAACTGGTGCCATGGTCCAGCGGCAGCAGTAACCAGCAGGCCAACTGGCATGGGCCAGTGGCATTGTCCAGCAGTGGCAGAGATCAGCAGCAGCAATCAGCAGCCGGGGTCCAGGGCTGGAACACTAAGGGGTGAGAGCCATTGGCATTGAAGCCTGGAAGCCTGTGCAGAACTGCACATTGTCGATTTGTGATTTCTACCCAAAACGAACCAAAGAACCCTCAACTGGTGACACCACCACTTTGGCAAATGGCACAGGGATCCTTTGGGAGAAGCAATGTGCCACATTCCACCAAGTCTCATCTGCCAGGACTTGGGGTCTGCATGGAGCAGGCTAAGCTTAAGAGTGGCAAGGGCTGCAGCAGGAAGCCATCCTCAGGCAGAGGGACAGAGAGGGGCACGGGATATGGGTGGGCCACAATGGCATCAGCCTGGTATGCCAACCAGACAGGACCCACCCTCAAGATGCTCACAGCCTGGGGGATGGGACAGGAGATGTTACACTTGTGAGGCCAGTGATTCCTACAGGATGGTTGTGCTTAATTGTTATCTTCAGTGGTACCCCAAAGTGTGAGTGCAATGGGTATTCCCCTTGCTGAGTCCAAAGTCAACAAGCATAACCAAAGGATATGAGAGTGAAGAGAGATTTATAACTTGGGGAAAGTAAAATGCATGCTGAAGATACTTTTCGTTAAGAAGTTTTGTATCTATATTCTTAAGGGATAGTGGTGTGTAGTTTGTTTTGGTTTTGGTTTTCTGGTAACAGGGATCGAACTTGGGACCTTGCACTTGTGAGGCATGCGGCAGAACCATTGAGCTAAATCCCCGGCCTGTGGAGATACTTTTCAAAGCAGTACCTCTCTGCACAAAGAAAGCAAAGGGCTTCTAGCAGGGTATTTATGCACATTCATACGGGGGAGACTCATCCCACTTGGAGGCAGGCACCTCCCTGAGCATGCTCAGCTCCAGGCATGAATGGCATGCTCAGAAAAATGTCCCAGGGGGACATCTCCTGGCAGGGGAATTTAGTATTTTAATGTGTGAAGTTTATTCAGGTTGCCTAAAAAAGAGTCAGGGTGACTCAGTGATTTTGGAGTTTCCTGTGAGTTTTTCTGGAGTCCTTATCTGAAACAACAGACAACTCTGAAGAGATGTTGACAGGAAATTTTAAGGAGCATCAGCTCCCTCTCTCGGAAAGCACAGGCAGTTTGCCCCTACCTGCCTAGGGCTGGGGATTTAGCTCAGAGGTACTGTGCCTGCCTCACGAGCGCAAGGCCCTGAGTTCGGTCCCCAGTACCATAAAAAAGTACCCGCCTAGTGGCCAGTGTGGCCAGGGAGAAGCACACAGGGGATGGGTGGAGACAAGGGGTCCTGCAGCTGGAAGGTGGTGCAAGACAGGAAGGATGGATGGAGATTTCAGGGAGAAGGGGTGGGCAAGGTTTCCAGGGGCCTGGGAGGGACAGGCAAGGATTCCAGATATTTCTGGTTGCAATGGCAACCCACGGAGGCTTCTGATAGGGGCGTGGCATCATCTTATGCATTTAAGGAAGATCCAGAGCCCAAATTTCATGGATGGAATTCAGCAGATCCATAAATGTTGGACAAGATTCATTCCTGCCCTCCCTCCCTCTTTCTTGTTTGGTTTAACAGATGGAACCCAGGGCCTCATGTGTGCTGGCCAAATTCCCTGCCACTGAGCTACATCCTCAACCCTACATCTCTAATAGAAATTTAAAATTTCCTCTCAACATTGCTGTAGGCAACAAACTATAGTATTAGCAGCACTCTTGACTTTATTGCTAATAAAAATCACAGATACTTTCATGACACCAACAGAAGATAAAGTTACCACAGCTTAGTTTAGCAATCTTTTGCGGGGAGGTTACTGGGGATTGAGCCTGAATCCATCACCCTGAACAACATCCACAGCTCTTTTTAATTTTTCTGTTTTGAGACAGGGTCTTGCTAAGTTCCTCAGGCTGGGCTCAAACTTGCAATACTTCTGTGTCAGGCTCCCAGAGTGCTGGGATTGCAGCCCTGTGCTGCCACATAGACCTTAATTTTGCAATCTAGATTGGCTGTACTTTCAATTCTAAAATCAGGCAACATTTCATTCCATAAAATAGAATGAGTATTCTGACGAGCTGACCAGAAGAAGGGGTTTTTTAGATGGGAAATCACATGAAGAAAAGAGAAAAAAACAAAAGTGGATTGGTCATTTCAAAGTCACTTAACATCAGGTGAGGAGACAATAGGAAAACAACCAATTAGTTAACATCAGGTTATGTTAGGTCGCCTCTTCTGGCTGATTGAAACTGGCCTGCTTGGAAATCTGCCTGTTCTCTCCAATACTGATTCACCAGGATAGATAAGCACTTAGGTGGTGAGCAGCTGAGCCATAGCCTGGTGGCATGGAACTTAGCTTGAGTGAATCCATTCTGAGTTTTAGCCTGGCCTGCCTGATGAGGCTGTGCAGCTTGGAAGATGAAACCCCAAAGACTGGTGCTTGACATGCACAGGTCCCCAGACACCCCCCTGCCCCGGAAATCCAAGTCCCTCTGTCCTCCCCTCCCGGTGCAGGCAGGGGCTTCCTGCCCCAACCACTGGGAGAAGAGCTCAGTGGGCTTCTGTCTTCTCACGGAAACACCACTAATAGAAAAGACTAAACTCAGACCATAGGAGGTCAGACCAAGTCTGTCAACACCTGGACAGACTTTTGTCTCACACCATTGTTCTCTATTTTGGTCCCACAGAGAACGATTTACAATCCACTGTCTGTTCTTTTGGGCCAAAGGACTTTGTCCCAGGCCACTGGATAAGCTTCACATTCATTGAGTTTCTCCAGAAATCATTCCCTAGGCCACTCAAATGTCTACCTCCATGTAGAAGAAGGTATAAAACAGAAACAAAAACAAGACAGAGCACAAAGCAAAATGGTTAGGTGTCAGAATCACGTTGGGCTGCTGAGTAATCACATTCTTCGGATTTTTCCCTGTGCTGTAATTGTTTCCCTTTTGCACATTAGTGAATTTGCATGCTTTTCTCCTATTTACTGACTTTGTCAGTTTATTCCAGAGAATTCTCAGTAGGCAGAGGGAAAAATCTCCTTTCACCCTACATGGCCTAGTCCAGGATCTTGTCTTCATCTGCATCTCTCAAATGAGCAGTGATATTGAACATTTTTTTCATATACTTATTTGCCTTTTCTAATTCTTTATCTGACAGGTGTCTTTTATTCAGATGCCCATTTTCGTATTGTGTGTTTAAATTTGGGGGCCTGATTTTTAAAAAATTCTTTATACATTCTAGATAATAGTCCTTTATCTGAATAGCTGGTAAAATTTTTTCCCACACTGGGTTTTCTCTTCACTCTGTTGGTGGTTTCTCTTGCTGTGTAAAAGCTTTTTAATAAGATGAGATCCCAGTTGTTGATTCTTTGTGGTATTTCCCGAGTGGACTGGGTTTTGTTCATGAAGTCTTTGCCTACCCGTGTCCTCAAGCATTCTAACTATTCTCTCTTCCAACAGATTTAGTGTTTCTGTTTTAATATTTAGATCTCTGATCTATTTTGTTTTTACGTTGGTGCACGGTGAAAGGCATGGGTCTAATTTCAATATGCAACATGTGGAAAGCCAGTTTTTCTAGCACCATTTCTTCTAGTGAAGGTGTCTGGCTCCTTTGTCAAAGATAAGGTGGTTGAGAATGTCTGGAGTTGTTTCTGCATCCTCTTGTCTGTTCCATTCATCCCCAGGTTTGTTATTTTGCCAGTACCATGCTGTTTTTATCACCATAGTTTTGTAGTATTGATAGGGAAAAGTTTTAGATAACTTAGTAGACTGAATATTAAGGTAGTTACAGAAGCAAAATAAGTAATGTGTTCCTTTAAGATTTGCTTTTCCCATAACTCTTGTTGTTTAAGGTGACTTTAAGATGATGGTTATCTGACTCCTTAACCAGTAACTTCATTAAACTAACAAAGTTGCAATGGCTGGGTGCATTTACAATATATATGTGCCTATCTTGTGTCTGTGACTTGTAAATAGGAACTGGAATTGTATTTACACATCAAAGACCACTAGGGATGAGATAATGGTTAAAAAGGATATAAAAAGAAATCACTAAATAAAGGGGCACAAGGATACTAAGCAGACTGGTTTCTAGAGGTCCCACCCACTTGCAAGTGGAACTTTTATTATTTTACCCGAATTCTGTGTCTCCAGGTATTTCCTAACGAGATTTCTGGAACAGTATAATTTATGTTTTTATTTTAGTTTTGTGTGTGTGTGCAAATGAGACCACATCAGAATCTTTAGTTAGGACATTGCAGATTATATAGGAAGGTTTGTGAGGCTATAGTGTATACCACATTAAAACAGCAAGGAAGAGCTATTTATATAGAAAGGCTGGAATGAGAGATTTTCACTAAAGTAAATTAACTTGTCAACTGCCAAACAAAACTGAGCACATGAGTGTTCCTGTACTGAAGGCATGTTATACCAATCTCTGGGCAGCATGCTAAGGGATAGTTAGAATGTCTTCATTGGTGCACAGGAATCATTAAGGGTCATGTTTTTGCCTCTTGCCAAATTTCAAGCATGTCTTACTTTAGATGAGTATAGCTTTTATCTATTAGTTCATCCTGTAAAAACATGTGAAGACAGTGTTCATTCTGTGCCAGTGGATGACCAGCGACCTTGTTTATGAACTGCTCCAGCCCTTGGTTCCTCTCCTCAATAAAATTGTCATCAAATATTCCATCATCTCCTCTAAAAGGAAGTTGACACAAAAATGTTTTCCCAGGGAGTGGGGGAACTACAACCTTGCTCTCTCTTTCTAATTCACTTCACAGCCATTCCAAGTCACTGTATCTTCTTCCAACAGCAGATTCCTTCAGCCTGATAACAGGAAGATTTGTCTTGACCCTGATCTCGGAGGTGGTGAAGCAGCCCTGGCCAACTTCCACCATCTGCAGGTTGCTCACATCGATCTCGAGGAAGTTGCTGGGCTGCCTGTAGGTGTCATTCAGGTTCTGCGGCTCGGTGACCAGCTGCTGGGTGTCTGGCACGGTCTCCGCCATTTCACTGTAACTGCCACTGCCGTGGGCTCCCTCCGGACCCTCAGGTTCCACAGACATCGCCGCCCGCCACAGAAACCTGCAGTATAATTTAAAGTCAGGGGTTGTGATACTCTCTGCTTTGCCTTTGATGCCCAGAACTGCCTTTGCTATTCTAGGACTCTTCTGGTTCCAAATTAATTTTAGGATTGTTTTTTCTAATTCAGTGAGATATTTTGTTGAGATTTTAATTGAGATTGCATTGAATCTGTACAACAATTTTAGAAGTATGTGCATTTTCACTATATTGGTTCTTCCTATCCAAAAACAAGGGATATCTCTCCATTGTCTGTTATCTTCTTCAATCTCCATTTTCAGAGTACTGTAGTTTTCAATGTAGAGGTCTTTTACTTCCTTCATTAGATTGAGTCCTAAGTGTTTCATTATTTTGGATGCTATTGTGAAAGGGATCGTTTCTCTAATTTATCTCTCTCTCTCTCCATGGGTCTGTTATTTGTATACAGGAAGGCTATCAACATTTGAGTGTTGACTTGGTATCCTGCTACACCACTGAATGTGGTTTTGAAATCTAGAAGTCTTCTGGTAGAGTTTTTCAGGTCTTCTATGTAGAGTATTATGTCATCTGCAAAGAATGATAATTTAACTTCTTCCTTTCCTATCCTTTTTCCTTTTACTTCTTTCTCTTGTCTCATTGCTCTGGCTAATGTTTCCAGAACTATATTGAACAGGAGTGGTGATAGTGGACATCGTTGTCTTGTTTTGATTTTGTTCTTTTAGTTTTTTGTTTTGTGTTGTGTTGTTTTTTGGTACCAGGGATCAAACTTGGGACCTTCCGCTTGCGAGGCAGGCAGCAGAAACACTGAGCTAAATCCCCAACCCAAGCTTTCAGTTTTTGTCCCTTTCATATGATGTTGGCTGTGGTTTGTTGTAGACGACTTTTATCAGATTGAGATAAGTATAATATATACCAATTTTCTGTAGGGTTTCTTATCATGAACGGAGGGTTGGACCTTGTCAAATGCTTTTTCTGCATCTATTGAGAGGATCTTACAGATTTTGTCCTTGGTGCTGTTAATATAGTGTATTACACTTATTGATTTGCATATGTTGAACCATCCCTGCATCCCTGGGATGAATCCAACTTGGTCATGGTGTATAACCTTCTTGATGATTTGTTGCACTGTGCCAGTATCTTATTGAGGATTTTTGCATCTATGTTCATTAGGGAGATTGGCCTATAATTCTTTTGGTTGGATCTTTTCTGGTTTTGGAATCAGGATAATGCTTGCTTCCAGGAATAAATGTGCAAGTATTGCTTTCCTTTCAATTTCATTTAGGAGTTTGAGGAGTAGTGGCATTAGGTCTTCTCTGAATTTCTTGTAGAATTCAGCAGTGAATCCATCAGGGCCAGGGCTTTTCTGTTGGGAGTTTCTTAGTTACATATTCAATTTCATTGGCTGATAATTGGTTTATTTAGAGTTTCTATATCTTCTTGATTCAGATTTGGTAATTCACATGAATCTAGGAATCTGTCCATTTTTTCCGTATTTTCCATCTAATTAGAATACAGGTTTGAAAGTAGGTATGGATTATCTTCTGGATCTCTGCAGGATCTGTGGTGATTTCACCCTTTTCATTCCTAATTGCATGGATTTGAGTGTTTTCTTTCCTTTTTTTTTATAAGATTGGCTAAGGGTTTGTCAATTTTATTTAATCTTTCAAAGAACCAACTTTTCTATTCATTGATTCTTTATATTGTTTTCTTAGTCTCCCTTGCATTAATTTGTGCTCTGATTTTTTTTATAATTTCCTCCCTCATATGAGCTTTGGGCTTTACTTGCTCTTCTTCTTCTAGAAGCTTGAGGTTCAACATTAGATTGTTTATTTGAGCCTACACTGTTTTCCTGATATGGGAATTCACTGCTACAAATTTCCCTCATAGGATGCTTTCACTGCATGCTATACATTCCAGTACGTTGTACTGTCATTATCACTTCATTGCAGAAATTGTCTGGTTTCTTCTTTAATTTTATCTGTGACTCATTGGCTTTTCGGGAGGATGTTGTTTAATTTCTATGTGTTTATGAAGTTCTCGTGGCTGTTGATTTCTAATTTCATTGCAGTATAGTCTGATAATATGCATGGAATTATTTCAATTCCTTTGCATTTACTTAAGCATGTTCTATGAGCTAGTATATGATCTATTTTGGAGAAAGTCCCATGTGTAGCTGAGAAGAATTTGTTTTCTGATGTTGTGGGGTGGAATGCTCTGTAGACATCTACTAAGTCCTTTTGTTCAAAAGTGTGGTTCAATTCTAATATTTCATTGTTGATTTTTTTGTCTAGTTGATCTGTCTATATGTGACAGTGGGGTACTGAAGTCCCACATTACAACTATATTAATCCTTATATGATTTTTCATGTCCATTAATATTTGTTTTGTTTAGTTGGGTATGCTGCTATTTGGTGCATATATATTTAGGATTGTTATATCTTCTTCCTGGATTGTTCCCTTTCCCAGGATGTACTGACCTTCTTTAATCAGTCCTCTCTTATTCAGTCTTGGCTTAAAATCCACTTTGTCTGCAAATAGAATAGCTTCCCCTGCTCTTTTCCAGTTTCCCTGTCGGATGGAATATTGTTTTCCATCCCTCAACTTTCAGTCTGTAAATTTGCTTTTCAATTAAATGTGTTTCTTGTATGCAGCATATTGTTGGACCTTGCTTTTTTTTTTTTTTTTTTTTTTT